GGCTCGAGCGCAGGTAGCATGGTTTCACACAAGCCACGAACGGCGATGCACATTTGCAGCTCGCCTTGGTAACCCTGACGGTGCCTTGCTGCCCGAGGGAGACATCGCGGTTGCCTTACATCATTCGGAATCTACTTTGTGGCAGCGACACGACTCACCGCTGAGCAGGTGACCGATGGCAAAGCTTGCCAAAATCCGCCTTTTGTGGCTTGAGGTGAGCGGAAGCTGAATTAGGTGCGTCGCGAAGCGTCGGCGCCGATTGCGCGCAGCGTGCGCACGCGGAAGCGAGTTTGAAGAGGTGAGGTGAGCTATCGACGTCCGAAAGCTGTACGTTGACTTCCCATTCCAGGGGCAAAGGAGATAGACGAGATCATAGCGCACACTCGACAGTCAGCTCGATGGGAACAAGAAAGATTGTCCAGATTCACTGATTGAAGGTCTGTAAGTTTCGGGCGAGAGGAGCGCACACCATCCTGGGTGAGAAAAACCAGTCTAATCGCGCGCAGTGGCTGCATAAAGCGTAGGCGTGCAGCAGCAGCACAGATACGTAAAGCATGGATGTCGTGAATTCTGAATGCACCAGCGACGGCCAACCCCATGCACAAGACCGATGAGGGGTTGACGGGGGGATGTCATTCCCTTGCTAGTTGCCCGTAGGATCAGCAGTCGAAGTTGAGCTGAATGGCAAGTCGTGAGGTGGTGAGTTCTAATCGATTCGTGATTTCAAACGCCGCAGGGCACGTTTGAGAGAGCGAGACAACACCAGCGGTTCCGCACAAGGGTCGGAGTTTGGTGCATCCGCTGCAACGTTCACGCGGAGGCGCGACTTGGCGAGTGCCGGCACTTGAGACTTTGCATGCTTTGGCATGGCTGTTTCATTGAGGAGAGCGACACCTGCCGTTCCTATCGTGAATCGTGAAGCTTCAGCCTGATAGAATTTGATAGATGAGCTTGATGCGAGATCGGTAAGGTACACAGCTCAAGTCATGTGTTATCCCTTACGTGCTCGAGCCTCGCCAGTGCTTCGTGTCGTACCCTGGCGGCAAGATCCGGAATCGCATCACGATTTCTGAAACGATGTCTCTATTCCAGGAGTCTGTGTTGGATTCGTCTCACTTTTCCGTTTGTTGATTCAAGCTTCGTGATTGCATATCAGCGAGGTGAGTCGAGTCGCGACAGCGTCTGCAACACATATGCACCGTTGCAAGGCTCGTGAGTGTCTCAGCGGTGTTCCTGATACTGACCTTGCTTCCTTCAGGGCATCTATCATCATGATTACGTGATGAGCAGACAGGGAGTTTTCTGACTGAGGATTGCGCACACGCAATTCGTAGTAGTAGTAGAAGTAATTAGCTACCTATCCGACCAATGCTACTCATGTCGACCCTCTTTTCCATTGGATGGGAAAGCGTGATGCCCTGCCGCGACTGCATAGACTTTGTGACTGAGTCTTGA